CTCTCTCTCTCTCTCTCTCTCTCTCTCTCTCTCTCGCGACTCCTTTTTTGAGGGCAATATTTGAATGAAACCAACGATAAGATAGCGAACGCGAAAACCAGTGAAGACAAGCAATAAATTGACTATTATTTCAAAAAACTGTATTTAAATAGTGTTTGGTTTGACGGTTAGAGTCGACAGTAGTTTTGCAAAAATAAATTTAATTTTTCAAAAATTCTGTCCCAAAAACTTCTAACCGTTTATTAACTAACTGTCAGTTAATTATTGTGAACAAAATGGTTATCTGGTCTCAGAGGACGGACACACTGACTGCGGCGGACACCGGGAAGAGTCCGAAGACGGAGCAAAACTACAGCGACATGAATGTGATCGATGGCCTCAAACTGTTGTACACATCGCGAGTACTTCCACTGGAAAAGCATTATCTCTTCGATGAGTTTCATTCGCCGCCATTAGAGGACTCGTACTTCGAGGCCAAGCCATCCATTCTGATGGTCGGCCAGTACTCGACCGGAAAGACCACTTTCATCAAGTATTTGCTGGAGAAGGAGTACCCGGGTATGCGTATAGGACCCGAGCCCACGACCGACCGCTTCATCGCCGTTATGCACAACACCACCGAAGGGTTGATTCCGGGCAACGCTCTGGTCATTGACGCGGACCGACAGTTCCGACAGTTGGCAAAGTTTGGCAATCCTTTTCTCAATCGGTTGCAGATCTCGGAGACCAACAGCGAAGTGCTGGAGAGCTTGTCATTCATCGACACTCCGGGCATATTGTCGGGTGAGAAACAGCGGACAGATCGCGGCTATGACTTCACGGGTGTCCTCCAGTGGTTCGCCGAACGCGTGGATCGCATTGTATTGATGTTTGACGCCAACAAACTGGACATCTCTGATGAGATGAAGAGCGCCATCGAAGCCCTCAGAGGACACGACGACAAAATGCGGATCATATTGAATAAGGCCGACACCGTTCCGCCCAATCAACTGATGCGAGTCTACGGCGCTCTCATGTGGTCGTTGGCCAAAGTGTTGCGGACACCCGAAGCCGTGAGAGTCTATATCGGCTCCTTCTGGGACCGACCCCTTGAATACGATCTCAATCGACAACTCTTTGAAACCGAAGAACAGGATCTGTTGAATGATTTGACGACACTTCCCAGGGATGGACGGCTGCGGCTGTTGAACGATCTGATCAAACGGACCCAATTGGCCAAAGTTCACGCTCTGGTTATCGCTGAGCTCCGGCGACATATGCCTCTCGTGTTGAATAAGAAACAGAAACAGAAGGAACTGATCCACCGGTTGAGCGCCATATACAGCGATATTCGGCACAAATATGGCATACCTTTGAGCGACTTTCCCGCCATTGAAACCATGAAACAAAAGCTCCAAGACTTTGATTTCAGTCGCTTTCATTCGCACAACAAATTACTGTTTCGGCAAATCGACGAAATGATGGCCAGAGATGTGCCAAAACTCATGTCTAGCATCGTATCGGAACAGATGTCGGCTCCGGTGGACGCCTACGATATAAAGGGCGGAAAGTTTGATGTATTAAATCGCGAGCCGTTTGGATACCTGAAGGGCGAGGGTTGGGACGCCGGCGCCGACGGCACCGCCCAATGGATTGTGGAGAAGAGCCGACACACGTATGACAAAGTGTTCGCCACACTATCGCCAGTGAACGGCAAGATATCGTCGGTGAGAGTGAAGGCAGAGATGATTAAATCCAAACTACCCAACAGTACGTTGAATAAGATCTATAGGCTGTCGGATGTGGACCGCGACGGCCTGTTGGACGCCGACGAGTACGCGCTGGCCATGCATTTGATGGCAATCAAACTGGACGGACACGATCTGCCCCTCGCTCTGCCCCCGCATCTCGTCCCGCCCTCCAAACGCACCACCAAATTGTGATTTTAAACACTACTGTCTTCTCCTGTTTTTCTCACCAAATGAGTGATTGTTTTATATTTTT